GGTAGAACCAACCAAGATGCTTAGCATTCTCCAGCTTTACATGCTTCTCCTCAAGTTTTAAATCTCTGTACACCTTATGCACGCTCCCCTGGATTTCTTCCTCAACCTCATCCATCTCATCCTTGATCTCTGATTGCGGGTGAGACAATTGATCCATGCTATATTACTATATAGTTATACATGGCTATTAATGTCTCGCCTATCAATAGTTGAACTGTCACAGGCACAAAAACAAACTTTATATAGACTGGCACACTTCCAAATTCACATACTTTGTAGTTCTTCGTCGAAGGAGGCCTTGATGTAGACGTCGTGGCTGTCATTCTCGAAATCGATTGTGTGCTCTACCAGTGATGTAAACTGTTGGAAGTCCTGGTCCAAGCCCTGGTGTATTCATGGTCAAAAACCAAGTAAATAGACTTGTAGATGTGCATATACATTTACTTCGGCATATAATATAATATATATATATATATATATATATATATATCGTTGGTATTGCTAGTTTTTACGTAATCAGATGTGTGCGCGGTGAAGGTCTTGAGTGGTAAAATGTATGTCGATGTGCAGTAGTATACGAAGAGTTTCAGTAAGTCGTCATATGCATACACATATATCCACTATGGGATTACAAACTACACACATGTATATATGTCGGAAATTTTACATAAATACAATTACAAATGTGACAAATATACACACCATAACCCAATATTGTACAAAACGATATTGGAATCCGGAAAGTCACCTGCTCCGTAGCTCATTAGACCCGTCGTACACACCACATCCACGCAGCCTTCAAAACTAAAGTCCCATAGTCGCACAATCTATCAGAAATCTGTAATACTGAAGGTCGCTGCTTACCTGGAGTGGCTCGATAAACATCTCTCGGATCACTGGTTCATGCGTACCCTCATACATTTGGAGAACATTGACGAAATTCGCTATACGCACAACGGTCTGGTACACTTTCACACAGTCCAACAGTTTCGCCTTTTTGCGCTGAAACCTGGGAGAACGAACCAGACCGATATGAGAAGTGGTGTGTGAGATATACGACAGAATGACGGTGTAGGGTATATAGCCTTACCAGATAGACCGGTGTGAGAAATGGTGCGTGAAGAAAGTATAGAGACGGAGGTGAAAAACATATATGTCCGGTCGATATCAAGCAGTTCAGGTGGCAATACAACCATCGAAATGGTACATCTTGGCAGAGTCGAGAGCATAATCGATTTGCATCGGGTTCCACTTTTAAATGGAAACTATGCACGAATATATTATCTGATAAGAGAACGAAGCTAAAACGTGTAAAATTTAGAAGGGTCATCCTACCATCTTCTCTCTCACACTCACAGACACACAGACACACAGACACACACAGACACAG